TTTTTATTTTTTATTTTTTTTAAAATTTTTTAATGTTTTATTTATTTCTAGGAGAGAGAGAGAGAGCGTGAGCAGGGGAGGGTCAGAGAGAGAGGGAGTCACAGACTGAAACAGGCTCCAGGCTCCGAGCTGGCAGTCAGCACAGAGCCCGACGTGGGGCTCGAACCCACGAACCGCGAGATCATGACCTAAGCGAAAGTCGGACGCTTAACCGACTAAGCCACCCAGGCGCCCCAGAAACCCAAACATTTTAGCTTGAATGAACTGGAATGTTGCCATTTTGTTCAGGAGATTGTACAAGATAGCAAGAGATCTTGCCTAAACCTGTTTTCAAATATAATACTCCCCGCTTTTCAATGAGGAAAACTTGTGTAAATACAAGTCCTCCTTTTACTACTAAAAAAAAAAACATTGTCTTCTTTTTCTCTCATAGAACTTCAGTTTGGACTGGAACCTACTGGGTTAGACCTAGTTAACAGATGTCCTTCAGGAGCAAATATGTTTTGAAATGGAACTTATTTCTTAGAGATTTTTCCAAAGTAAATGAAGACACCTTTTACGCTTCTACAAACACTTAAATGCAGACATTTATTGAGTGGCTAAAATCATTATTAGTTTTGTAAACCAGTGAAATAGAAAAACATATTCTTCTGAATACCGTTTTCTATCTGCTCACCGTATCTCATGTGCCAAACCTCTCCAACTTTGTCCCTGCGGGTCTCTCCTCCAGTCCTTCTCTGTCTTTTCAAGATAGGACTTTCAGGCGGGGCCCCAATGATCTCATTTAATTTACCTCACTCTCTCCACATTGAATGCTTTAGTCTTTGAATTTGTTTCCTTAGGGCACTCCTAAATGGTGCTGACTTATCTGATGAACTCCTTTGAAAATTAATGACTGATAGTAGTTCAGTGTGCTAATAGTTGTGATAACAACAGCAATTAAAGAGTGGCCTTTAATGCATCAGTTGGGGAAAAATCTCTTCTGTAAACAGAACTCAGGCTTCTTACAACAGAATGTTTTCAGGTAAATGAACAATGACACCAAGTAAGACAACAGCTCTTGGTTTCTATTCACAATTATAGGTGGAGATATATTGGCAAATATTTCAGCAGAGCTTTAATTTTATTTAATCTTTAATTTCATCAGAAGAAAATAGCATGTAAGCCTTTTGATAAAAATAGCTTGCCCCTGCTCCATTTCCCCATCTCAAAAGCAGCACTTGATTTGTCCATAATGTGTATGCCCCCAAGTTTTCAACTACCTGCTCACTCTGTTGACTTGACAATTTGAAATACCATTATTGATTGATTTCCCTGCATGAAAAATGAAGATTGAGTAGTCTGAGGGACCCCTCTTATTATACACCACAAATACATGTTCCTCTTTCCAGCTTCCCACTATAGTTAGAGCATACTGGGCTTAAGTCAGTAATTAATATTTATATTACTAACTGTGCATATCACTCACAGCTAGACCATATCACATTTTGTAACTTACATTTTTTTCTTGTTAATTTTTGTTTTGTCAAAATGGGGCTTCAAAATGGCCCTGTGCTGTTTTATCTCCTTAGCTTCCTATGTACCTATCATTCACACGCCCTCCATATTCCAAAACTGTTGTTAAACCCTTAGTGAAATCAGACACAGCAGTGAACTATCAGTACTACCATTTTCTTTTTAATATTTATTTTTGAGAGAGAGAGAGAGAGAGCAGGGGAGGAGTAGAGAGAGAGCGAGACACAGAATCCAAAGCAGGCTCCAGGCTCTGAGCTGTCAGCACAGAGACTTATGTGGGGCTTGATCTCATGAGCCATGAGCTCATGACCTGAGCCTAAGTCAGATGCTTAACTGACTGAGCCACCCAGGCACTCCTCAGTACTACCTTTTTGACGGATACAGGCTTCCTGGGGTTGTCCGTCTTTTTGTGCTCACGGCTGCTGTGCTGATGCACTCCCAGAAGTTTCCTCTGCTCTTATCCTGAATATCCCCTTCCTTTCATTTGCAGTCTACCCATTATAGTTTGGATTTTGTTCCTTACTCTTTATTTCCTCACTTTGAAGAAGCACATGGTTCAGTGGCCTATTGAAAATGAGGATATCAGACGTATTTATTGTGTTGAAGCACTACAAATCAGAAAATATCTTTATTGTGTCCTAAGGTTTGATTGTGGTGTGGCACAGTACGGAATTCAAGGTTGTAAATTATTTTCCCTCACAATGTTGAAGGTAGAGCTCCAACTGGAACATGGCGTGTGTTGTTGTTGAGAAGTTGAGTGGAATCTGACTCTAATTCGAAATCCTTGTAATGAGAACAGATTTTTCTCTCTGGAAAACTTTAAAAGTTTTCTTTATGTTTGGCTTTCTGATGATGAGCCTTAATGTGGGTTTTTCTTCCTTCATTGTGCTAGACCCTTTGTCCGCCCCTCTGATCTGAAAATGTGTCCTTCACCTCTAAACATTTTTATTCTATCACTTCCTTGAAAATGCTGTCTCCTCTGTTTTATCTCTTCCTTGATTGCGGAGCTCTTATTCATTGGCTGTGAAGCCTCTGATTTTCTTGTCTTTTCAATTCTATTTTCCATCTCTCTCTCTTTCTTTATTTGAGTTTCTGAAAGAAGTACTCAAATTAATTCCTCTGTTTTTACTTGTACTATTATATTCTTTTTAATTTTGAGAACTGTTTTTTTTTAATGTTCCTTTTAAATGGTATTTTGTTTTGTTTCATGGGTGCAATATCTACTTTTGTCTGTGGAGATGTGTTCTATGGATATTTTTCCTACTCCTCCATGGAAAGTCTTGTAGCATGTGGAGCTTAGACTCTGCAGCAGTTCAAATGCTAATAGTGCCATTGATTATGACCAGTGACCTTAGGCAAGTTACCTGACCTCTGCTTATCAATTTTCTTAGTAAAATATAGGTAATAAGGGTACTCTTTGGATAGGATTGTTGGGAAGTACAAATGACATTAATGGATACCATGCACTTAGAAGAGTCCATGGAAAATAGTAAGCCTATATAATATGTTATTGTATGCATTTCCTCTGAGTTCCTTTTTATTCTTTTTCTCCTGTTTTGTTCAATTAAGTTTTCATCTTTTGTATTGGACACTTTCCTCCAACACCTGGTGATCCTTAACTCTGTGTGTTCACATTTGAGGATGAGGAACTAGAAAGCTGATTGGAAGCTCTATGTGCCTTTGGATCCCCAAGTTGCCAGACTGGAAACCCAATCCCCTGAGGTTATGATGCTGGAGAGAGGATATGATGGTACAGAGAGGAGCTTGAGGAATGCCAGATGTTGTAATCACTACCTGCAACCACCAGACATTCACTTCATCAACTCCAGTCCACCCCAAAACCATGAGAAGTCATAATAATAATAAGAGTGCTGTTGATTTATGCCACTAAATTATGCAACAGCAAAGAAATAATAGGAGGAGATTAGGCTCCAGAATGAGCACAGGTCCCACCTAGTATCAGATCTTGTGACTTGTAAGTTTTAATTTGTTGTCCAGAAATAGCCTCCTGATCTCTATTCCTTTTTTTTTTTATGGTTTATTTATTTCTGAGAGACAGAGAGAGGCAGCATGAGTAGGGGAGGGTCAGAGAGAGAGGGAGACATAGAATCCAAAGCAGGCTCCAGGCTCTGAGCTAGCTGTCAGCACAGAGCCCGACGTGGGTCTTGAACACACGAATGGAGAGATCATGACCTGAGCTGAAGTCGGACACCTAACCGACTGCGCCACCCAGGCGTCCCTCCTAATCTCTATTTCTAATCTACTTGGCAAACGTCCTTGTTTGATTCTCCATAGACATTAAAAACATTTCTCTCTTTTCAGTTCAAGGTCGGTCATAGAATCACAGCTGGGAGGTGTAAGAAGAGGTACACCTCTAAGGCATAGTAATCACTTGTTTTCCAAGCATTAAGATAATGCATAATCATAAACCACCTATAACAAACATAGCATCACTGTTACCTAAATTAATAGCACTCTTTTTCTTTTTGCATATTATTAGTTCTCTCATCTAAATTCATTCCTATGCCAGAAACAGGATTGCAGGAAAGATTCCTTTGCAAACTCAAAAGAGTACTTCAAATTAAGGGAAAAGAAAATGAGATGAGAGGGCAGCTTCTCAGAAGCTAAATCAATTCTTTGAAAAGAGATGACCACAAACATTAAGGCTTGGCTTTTAGAAGCAGATAATTCAGCATTAAATGATGTGCAACATAATTGCTAGGAGTATATTTGTTTAATCTGTGGTGCAGTTATTACCCTGTGAGAGGGATTTTTGGACTTTGAACATCTTGAGAGAGACCTTGTGTCTGAAACATATTTATTTTAAGTCAATAGACATTGCTTACATTTCACTCTTGGTTTTATTTCCCCCACTGAGAATGAGATTAGTCTTTCCCTAAAGAAGCCACTGCTACAAGGATGGGTAAAGGTAGAGAGTAGTCAAGGAGATCTCACAGGGGAGAAGGTAACCAAGCACCCAAATTCAAACACTTAAAACAACTGCAAACCATGAAATCAGCCATTCGGAATGTAATGGCCAAATTCAACCACATTTACTGAAAACGTTATGTGGTGTTTATTTGACATGTTTCAAAACTCTTAAGTTTAAGATGACTAGTGTATCAGGTTTGCAGAGGAAATTTTCTCTATTATAATTTTATTCAATTATAGGGAACTATGGGGAACGAGTGTAAGTGTCCTGGAAGATATTTACTGAAACTGTCATCATCGTTCCTTGGTTGAACCTTAACCCTTAGCAGTTACGTGCTATGTGTAAGAATATGCAGAGGACGAATATCTATCTTATAAGTGATTTAGATTCAAAGAACACCAGATTTATACCTTTCAAAACCTTAACACTGCCTCAAAAATAATTCAGCCACTTACACTTCCTTTTGAGGAGGGTGTTGGTTATGGGTTGTCTAAGGAGTTGTAAACTATGGAATAGAGCAGTGGTTTCTAGCTTTCATGTGCATTAGTATCACCTGGAGAGCTGGAGAAGACACAGATTTCTGGGCCCCACTTCCATTGCTTTTGATTTGGTAAATCTGGAGCGGAGTCTGAGAATTTACATTTCAGCAACTTCCTAGGTGATGCTGCTCCTGCTGGCCCAGGGACCACACTTTGAAAACCACTGAAATAGACCAAGTAAAATCATTATAAGGACCCAAAAATGGTGGGGGGGGGGGATGTGAGGGGTGGGGGGATGTGGGTATAGGTGCGGGTGTATTAATAAATTTTAGCATATTTAGACCCCGAGCAAGGAATCCCTCTTAGCTGACTCTATGGAGATGGTCAATGTCCAGACGAAAGCATATACTAGACAAGTATTCAGGGTGGAACTCCAAGGGCTTATAGACTGCTGAGGAAATAAGACAATGTGTAACCTTTGACTTGCTTATGTTGAAAAGAGCTCAGGGGCGCCTGGGTGGCTCAGTCGGTTAAGCATCTGACTTTGGCTCAGGTCATGATCTCACGGTTTGTAAGTTCAAACCCTGCTTCAGGCTCTGTGCTGACAGCTCAGAGACGAGCCTGCTTCGGATTCTGTGTCTCCCTTTCTCTCTGTTGCTCCCCTACTCACACTGTCTCTCTGTCTCTCTCAAAAATAAATAAATATTAAGAAAAAATTAGGAAAAAAAATAGAAAGAAAAGATCTCAAATGATTTATGAAGGTCATCAGTAATACTAGATCCAGATTGGGCCTTGGGAATATGTATATAGATTTGACCTTAACAAATCAAGTCAGAAGAAATTAATGTTCAGTTTATTACCATGACATCATCATATCTTTCCTGTGTGTTCTAAGAGGTTTTGTTTAAAACGATTTTTTTAAGTTTATTTTTTTTATTTTGAGAGAGACAGAGATAGCGTGATTAGGGGTGAGGCAGAGAGAGAGGGAGAGAGAGAATCTTAGGCTCTGTGTTGTCAGAGCAGAGCTCCATGTGGGGCTTGAACCCACGAAACTGAGATCATGACCTGAGCTGAAACCAAGTGTCAGGCGCTTAACTGAGACACCCAGGTGCCCCTAAGAGGTTTTGTTTTACCACAAATAGAGTAATCAAGAAGAGTATGATTTTTTAAATGTTTATTTTATTATTTTTGAGAGACAGAAAGGCAGACTACAATCAGGGGAGGTGCAGAAAGAGACACACATACAGAATCTGAAGCAGGCTCCAGGCTCTGAGCTGTCAGCACCGAGCCCGATGCGGGGCCTGAACCCATGAACCATGAGATTATGATCTGAGCTGAAGTTGGAGCCTAACCAACTGAGCCACCCAGGTGCCTCAAGAAGAGTATAATTTTGACTACTATTTCTCTCTCTTTTTAAAAAATTTTTTAAATGTTTTATTTATTTCTGAGAGAGAGAGAGAGAGGCAGCGTGAGCAGGGGAGGGTCAGAGAGAGAGGGAGACATAGAATTGGAAGCAGACTCCAAGCTCTGAGCTAGCTGCTAGCATAGAGCCCAACGTGGGGCTCGAACCCATAAGCTGTGAGATCATGACCTGAGACAAAGTTGGAGGCTCAACTGATTGAGCCACCCAGGCGCACCATTGACTACTATTTCTCAAATAGAAAGGATTATTACCATTGTCATTATCATCACTATCTTTATTATTTAAATGAATTTGCATTGGGCTAAATAATTAACATGCATTGTCTTACTTGTCAATTTTTAAAATGTTTATTTATTTTTTGAGAGAGAGAAAGAGAGAGGTAAGCAGGAGAGAAGCAGAGAGAGAGAATCCCAAGCAGGCTCCTTGCTGTCAGGGCAGAGCCCAACACAGGGATCGACCTCAGAATTGTGAGATCGTGACCTGAGCCAAAATCAAGAGTCAGACACTTAACCCACTAAGCCACCCAAGTGCCCCTTAAATCCATTTTAACTGAAAATAAGGCTCTGAGAGTTGACATTTACACAGCTAACAAGTAGCAAAGTGTTTCCAACTCCAAAACCTTACTGTGAAATACATTCTGACAGTGGATATATATATATTTTTAATGTTTTTATTATTTATTTCTAAGAGAGAGAGAGAGAGAGAGAGAGAGAGAGAGACGGTGTGAGCAGGGGAGGGTCAGAGAGAGAGGGAGTCACAGACTGAAACAGGCTCCAGGCTCTGAGCTGGCAGTCAGCACAAACCCCAAGCGGGGCCTGAACCCATGAACCGCGAGATCATGACCTGAGTGAAAGTCGGACGCTTAACCGACTAAGCCACCCAGGCGCCCCTGACAGTGGATATTTTAACAGTTAAACTTTTGTTCACATAACTTCAAATCAATAAAAAATTCAACTTAGTTTGATAGGAGGACCAAGTGTTATTCTAAGAGCTTTCCATGATTATATGGCACCTTTAAATTCCTCACTAGCCATATGTAATAGGCCTGCACTGCCTGTAATGTTTGGTAGGCAAAGGATTTTCTTGCTACTCCAAATTGCCTGCTACAGCCTTATTTACCTCTGCTAGCGCTTGAAGATTCATTAAGCATCTTCATAGTCTTTACATTCTTCCCAATCATATAAAAAGCTAAGATGACAAGTTCAAAACTGTAACTTCTCTCTATACATCATCAAGAGAGAACACATTATATCAAAAGAATAAATGATTCAAATGGTGGGACTTTAATCATTGACATGTATCCCTAAAACAACTTTAGTGTTTGGGGATAGAATGGCAGGATGTGTTGTAGACAGTAGTTTGGAGGAAAGGAAATCCTGTCATGCTGTAAGGCCCTCACTTCATTTGTCAATGACTTCACTTCTGGATCAAGAGTACCGTGGAAAAATTAATAGCTATGGAATGTTATAAGTGAAAAAACAGAAAGTTATTACTCTTAGTCTTTTTGTATCTATCAGCATATACGTATGTGTATGTGTTATAAGTTGACTGCTGTAAATATTTTGTGTTATAAATTTACCACTAAAAACATTAAGCATGGGGGCTCCTGGGTGGCTTGGTCGGTTAAGTGTCCAACTCTCGATTTTGGCTCAAGTCATGATCTCAGAGTCGTAAACTCAGTCCCCATGTAGGGCTGTGCACTGGGCATGAAGGCTACTTTAAAGATTCTCTCTCTCCCTCTCCCTCTGCTCCCCACACCCACCCCTGCTTACTCTCCTCTCTCAAATAAATTTAACAAAATATTAAGCATCAATGGGGACAGTTATCTGTATCACCAGGTAAGATCTATCTGTCAGGCAAAGGGCCTAGAGTGACAGGAAATGGAATGGGGCAGTCTCATGGCCTACCAGAAGGAGAGAACTTCCATGATTGATGGAGGGTTCAAAGTCGAGTCTTCCCAAAGCACAACCACATTCAAGTGAGTTGTGGAGGCCTTCAAGTGTGCCACTCAAGATTCAGCAGCTTCAATGGCCAATTCCATTTAGAATGCCAAGAAGAATGTCTCCATTGTCCGCTCACCTGCACAGAGCCCGAGGAACTGTTTTGGGTCACAAAAAAACACTTTCCTTTCCAACTCTGAAGAAAGCCAGCTAAAAGCAGGCCAGTCATCCTTACTACCTTTTGTTTTCTTATTTCCTGGTCAAAGGTAGAGGTCAAAATTGAGGAGTACTGAGGCCTTTTGTCTTCTCCTTGTCTTGGGATGAAATCATTTCCTTTGGAGAAATGGCAGTGAAACTTAGTAAGTTATTCTTTCTGAGATTGGCCTGAAATTAAACCCATCTTTGAACAGGGAACTCCATAGTAATCTCTAGAATGGGAAAGTCTGGGCTTATTCATTTATTCTTTCAACAGATATTTACTGGCTGGCTTGCAGGTGGCACAGCACTCCCATGTTTTCTATTTGAACATGAAAGCAGACAAAGAGTAACAGCCTAACTCTCACAATCCAAAGCCTGACAATAAAAACTTGGAAAACTGAAATGGAGATAGGCCTTGGTTTTGATTTCCTCCTAATATTTTTATTAAAAAAATTGTTTTTAATTTTAGAGAGAGAGAAAAAGAGTGAGTGGGGGAGAGGAGCAAAGAGAGAAACAGAGAATCTTAAGCAGACTCCACGCTTATTGCAGAGCCTGACAAGGGGCTTGATCCCAGGATTCTGGGATCATGACCTGAGACAAAATCAAGAGTCAAAATCTAGAGTTGGATGCTCAATTGACTGACCCACCCAGGGCTCTAATGTTTTTAGAACCCCCTACTATCTCCTGTCAACTGAATTTCCTGATGAAGGTATAAGAGTTACTGTGCAATGACCAGGGAATTCCTGGATCCTTGCATGTCTTGAAGAGGAGATCAAGATCATGGTTCACTGTGGCTTCCAAATGCTTTGGAAGGTTAGGGAGCCATTCACTCCCTGGGCTTCAGTTTCCTAGGTTTTAAATGGGCACTAAAACAAAACAAAAATTGGGCAGGTTGGTGACTCAGTTGGTTAAGCATGGGACTCTTGGTTTCGGCTCAGGTCATGATCTCTTGGTTTCAAGATGTTCGAGTCCCACATAGGGAGATTTTGAGATTCTATCTCCTTCTCTCTCTGCCCCTCCCCCACTCATGCTGTCTCTGTCTCTGTCTCTCTCTCAGGACATTTATTTTTAATAAATAAACTTAAAAAAAATACTTCTCAAAGAATTAAAGAGAGAACTTCCACAGGGAACCTGATCATAGATTGTGAAATAACACATCTAAAACCACTAAAATAGGAACTTTAATCAGGATGGTCTGGTTCAAATTCCAAGGGATCTAAAATGCCACTTAAGAGTGTCAGACAAAATGCTTCATCAGTTCAAAGCAGGGCGGCGGGGGGGCCGGGGGATGATTTGTTTCTTCCTGGAGTCCTCCCACCCCCGCCCTGCAATGGATGTGTTTGGAGAAATTGTGCCATGGCAGTAAAATCAGGAAGACTAACTTGGCCATTTTCCTGGAGGCATGACCTAGAGAACCCCCTTCATGGTTTTTTCCTGGGTGGAAAGAGAAAAAGAAGTTCATGGACAATTAAAACCTCACTCTCTTCTTTTGATAAAGACATTTAGCAAGAATCACCAATAGTTCCAGAAACATTAGTCACTGAGGGATCTAAATCACTGAAGAACAGAAAAACCTGCTGATACAAGTTTCTTGTCAGAATAATTTGGACTGACCAATCTGGCTCTTCCACACAATGTGGCCACTGTTTCTCAAAGATGTAAACTTCTAGATGCATGTTTAGGTCATGCATTTGTCATGAATTTGTGTATTTTATCTAATAAGAAAGAGACAACAAGCTCCTGAAAGGCAAGAATTGTGTTTCCCTAGCATAGATTCTAAATACATAAGCAAGTAAGTAAATAAATGCCAGCAAAATCCTGTGAAAAGATTGATGTAATTATATTTTTAGAAATTTAAGGACGAGGAATGTGGCAAGAATGAAAAGGAATAAAAAGAAGAAATGAAGTCATTAATTTATTATGTTATTCAGCATGATTTGAAGATAAAGCAAATATGCCTTAGAAGGGAGAGCCTGAGACATCTGCAAAGGGAATGGAAACTTATCACCCAGATCCTGCCTTATCTCTGTCCTCAGTTTTAAGACAATGTGTTTCCTTATTGCTCACATCAGTTTTTCTATTATTTGTGTTTAAAAGCATCATAACTGGTTTAACATCAATGCATTTACTTCCACTAAAGCAAATTCTTTCCATAACCAGAAACGCATTTATCTCCTATTCCAGACACTCCTTATTATATATCTAAAATATCATTTCAACAGGTAGTCAATATAAAATTACTTTTTAATATAAAATTATTAATGTTATTTTACAGTCTTATTTTTGTACTGTCTTCGAAAATCTGTGCTATTCTATGTGTCTAGCACTCCTCACTTCGGGCCAGTCACATTTCAAGGGCCCAGCCATGCAGTTGTAGCTGGACATGAATCTCTGCTTCTGTCACAGCTTAAGACACATAGACACATAACATCTGATGGGTAATTGCATTGCCTTGTTATTGTAATCATCATTAAACTAGTGTCATTCCCTCCTTTTATCTGATTTAATTCAATCTTATGTGTATCATAGTTTCTGATATTAAGTTAACAAGACAGTCTTCCTGATAGGTGTAAGGGAAGCCATTTCTCTTTATCAAAGGATTTCCTTATTAGCCCTTATAATATACATAACATTATAAATAATTATATGTATAGTATATATGTATAGAGAGAATACATTTTTTTTTTTTAAGCGACTGGGGGGGGCACCTGGGTGGCTCAGCCGGTTAAGTGTCCAACTTCCACTCAAGTCATGATCTTGCAGTTCATGGGTTCAAGCCCCACATCAGGCTCTGTGCTGGCAGCAAGCTCAGAGCCTGGAGGCTGTCTTCAGATTCTGTGTCTCCCTCTCTCTCTGACCCTCCCCTGTTCACCCTGTCTCTCTATCTCTTTCAAAAATAAATAAAACATTAAAAAAAAGTGACTGGGGTGTCTGGGTGGCTCAGTCAGTTACACATCCGACTTTAGCTCAGGTCATGATCCCAGTTCATGAGTTTGAGCCCCACATCAGGCTCTGTGCTTACAGCTCAGAGCCTGGAGCCTGCTTTCGATTCTATGTCTTCCTCTCTCTCCACCTCTCCCCTCTTTGCACTCTATCGCTCTTTCAAAAATAAATAAATATTTAAAAATTTGTAAATAAATAAATGAATGAATGAACGAATAAATAAATAAATAAATAAATAAATAAATAAAAAGTGACTGAATGTTAGTTTTACAGCTATTAGATGGATATATTATAATTCATCCTAGGAACTCTACTTTTAAACTATGAATTGACCAAAAAGTAAATATGTATAAAGTATCTATTTATTCATAGTAAACAGAATAACTAATGTACAGCAAGCAGATACTCAAACCAAAAGCAAAACTTTGTTCTGTTGGCCTTTTGATGAAAAAGTGCCTTTATCCGATTAGTTGCATTCTAACTATCTTGGGCAACAGATTCACTGCGTGTCCAGGAGACAGTGCATGACAGGGAAAAGAGCATGGCCATCTGACACACCACTGGCTGTGTTGCTTCCTAGCTGGGCAACATTGGGAGTATTTGTTGTCTTCTCTTTGCCTCCGTTTCCTCGCTTGTAGAAGGATGATAGCATGCTGTGACAGACACAGTTAGTTTTATATCAATATCCATTCTTTCTTTCTTAATCAGCCAAGACTTCTCAAATGTTAGCTAGACACCAGGATACCCAAAATGAAGTCCCCATTTCCAGCCTCTCTTGCAGTTAGATGTGGTTATGTGACTAATTTCTGCCCAGAGGTAAAAATAGAGGTGGTATCTACAACTTCCAGAAAGTTTCCCTGAGAGAAGAGGGAGATCACTCTTTTGTTTTCTTTTTTTCTCCTTCCTGCAGGCTGGGATTCAGACATGACAGGTGGGGCTAAATTAGTTGTCTTTAAAAAAAAAAAAGAGATGTAAGCAGAATATCAAGTAGAGCAGAGCAAGAGCAGGAACCTGGGTCAATTATGATTATGAAATCACCGTAAGTGCCCTAGATAATTTGCCCAGGCTCTTAGAGGAGAAAAAACCCCACATATTTCTATTTTGTTTAAGGTATTATTATTTTCTGTAATTTGCTGCTGAACCTAATCCATAGAGCTGTTTTGAAAGATTAAATGGGATAGTATATCTTAAGAACTTTGTAGAGTTCCTGGCACAGGGGACCTATTAGGATAAAATAGCTCCATAAGAGTTACTCTAAGGGTCAAATGGAAAATACAAGGGAATATGCTTTTTAATCTGTAAATCTAAAAATCACTGTATAAATGTTGGTCATAATTATCATCATTAAATTATGATAAGGAATTAGCTAACTGCCAGCACGCTCTACTTGGATCAATCTATTTAGGCCAATAAAAAAAAAAAAAACAAAAACAAAACACCAGACACAGACTTCTTTACTTTTGTTAGGTTTACTTGGTTTTAGTTCTCTCTGTGAATGCTTAGAGGCTTGCATTATATTAATGCTTTAAAACCTGGGTGCAATACTCATTCGAGGAATATAAAGAAAATACATAGAACCCAACAAAACTAAAGTATCTTTTATTCACTTACCTTTACCTTTAAAAAATTTTCCATTACAAAAATCAATTAGTATTTGTAGTTAAAATCAATTACAATTACAAAGACTTAAGTAGAGTCCATCCCTTTCCTTCTTTTTCCCCAACCCATTCTTTAGAAATAATTATACTAACAGTTTAATTCATAACTCCTTGTGAATAAATATTAGTTTTTTGTATGGTTATATAGATATATATCTTCTCCTTACAAAATAAATGCAATTATTCTTGCAGGAAGTTTAAAATTGCAGAAAAGAAACTTTTGCAACAGCTTTTTGGCTTTGTTTCATTTTGTTTTCTAATTTAAAATATCCCTGGAACATGGGGTACCTGGGTGGCTCAGTCCGTTAAGCATCTGACTTTAGCTCAGATCACGATCTCACCATTCGTGAGGTCAAGCCCCGCATCGGGCTCTTTGCCTGGAGCCTGCTTCCAATTCTGTATCTCCCTCTCTCTCTCTATCTGCCCCTTCCCTCCTCATGCTCTGTCTCTCTGCCTCTCAAAATAAAACATTAAACATTAAAAAATATTAAACATCCCTTGAACATCTTTCCCTCTCAGTATATACCTCCCTGTATATTTTTAAACACCTTCTAGGGAGTCATTAAAAAATTTTTTTTACTAATTAATTATTGTAACATTATTTGCAAAACAAAGGAGAGTTCCCTTCAAATAAAATAATAGTAGGTAGCAATTCTGAGCACTGTGAGGATTTCATTAGATAATTCAGTAGAATGCTTAGTAAAAGGTCTGCACATAGTGAATGATTAATAGGTATAAATATTAGCCATTATAATACTGATAGTAATAATAATTAAAGTTGACTATTTCTCTGAGCTCAATATCAGTAAATTGCTATGATCAAAGTAGTGACTTCTTATCCCCTATATCTATAAAATATTACTTAATATATAACATATTCCTCACACTTCCATTTTATTTTAGACCGTACATGGGCTTTGTCATACAGTGGAAGTGTGTGTCATGTTCTGGAGCACTGTCAGACTCAGGTTGGTTCTCTCCAGGATCTGCTCAGCCCTTGACTATCCAGTACAGTGCCAAATTAGAACAAAAAATAGTCTACCTGTGTGCCAGCTGCTGAGGCAGCAAAGATGGCATTTAGCTTCTAGGGCATTTGGGAACCTAAATCCCTTGTCTGAATGAGAGATACCTGCTGGGTTGGGCCTTTGGGACCAGTGGAGATTAAATGGGTCCAATGACTCCTAATAGCTACTAAGCAACCAGCCTGCCATGGGGAGATGAATCACAGGGTGCAGTGGGTAGCAAGTCCCTGGGGGGAGCCTCCTGGGGGTGTCTGCTCTCTGGAAGAGAACTGGCTGATGTGGACTACTGGCTTTGGGGCAGAGGGAGAGGACTATGACAGGAGCTTTCACTCAGAAGGGGCAAATGGTAAATTCAACTTGATAGATGGTAGCTTTCACCTTGTAAATCTGATAATTTTGCCATTCCCCAAATGCTTTAAGTATAATTATTCCAGAGCCTGAAAGAAAGACTGAATAAGGGAGAAAATGACATCAAATTATTTTATACACTCACACAATTCTGCCTTTAAAAATGTTAGGTAGCCAGGCAAATAATGTTAAAAATAAATCTAAGAGCACCTCATTTTTAAAAACCGGACTGTTCAGGAATTTACATGTATCTGAGGTTGGTGGTACCCTTTTCTAGAACATTTCTGATTTCTGGTGAAACCGGATGGTTGAGTGGTTATAACTGGATCAGAAATAACATTGGATTCAATACCATCATATGCTTTTTTGCTCTGTATAAGAGCATTAGAAGCCCTGAAATCCATCCCTCACTGCTCTTGAAAAACTCTGGGTCTTAAAGGAATGCCTTTCTATAGTGCATCCACCAGGAGCGGGAGCCTTCTGATAATCCCCACAAAGTCTTGGCTGGTGGAGTTCTTGCCTTGGCTGGCTGAGAGACCTAGGTTTGGGTCTCAGCGGAAGTGCTTTCCCGCACCATCATTTCTGTTTACATAAAGCCATTCTCAAACTTATAAGGTCATAGAATCATGGAATTTAAAACCTGTTAAATATCTTAGAAATGACAAACCTGATCTAATTTTATTTATTATTATTCATTTTTATTAAAAAAAAATTTTTATGTCTTTATTTTATTTTGAGAGACAGAGACAGAGAGTGAGTAGGGGAGGGGCAGAGAGAGAGGGAGACACAGAATCCAAAGCAGGTTCCAGGCTCTGAGCTGATGCGGGGCTCGAACCCACGGACTGTGAGATCATGACAAGAGCCGAAGCCAGACGCTCAACCGACAGAGCCACCCAGGTACCCCGATGAACTCATTTTATAGATGAGATAACTGAGCCATCAAGAGGTAAAGAGTTTTACCCAAGTTTAGAGAGCTAATAATAATTTTATTCAATGACATTATAATATAATCTTTTATGAGTTTGTTCATAGTCCCATTTTTATTAATGTATCTCTAAAACTTTACCGTGTATTTATGAGGTTTAAGCTGTAATTTCAAGCAGACAGGTGAAAATAAAGGCATTCTGCTTGCTGTTTAGATCATAAAAATTGTTGGTTCTCAGTATAGACTTCCATATTTGACTACTTTACTACTATTCTAGGTTTCAGTTAAAATGTGTGGTCATTTCCTCTGAGAAATCTTTCCCTTCCTCTCCCAAATAGGTTAGGTATCCCTCCCATATGCCTGCCCATCACCTTAGTTTCTCTCTGATAATATTTATGACATTATATTGTAGTTGTCATTTACATTTTGATTCCCTAAAACCTGTAAGCTCTATGAGACGAAGGAGGTAAATAAGCATTAGAGATACAAATAAACATAAAGAATTAAATAGTTACAAAGTTTATAAAATTTACAATTACAGTTTAGAATTTATAATTACAAAAATTAATTTATAGAGGGGCGCCTGGGTGCCTCAGTCGGTTGAATGTCTGACTTCAGCTCAGGTCATGATCTCATAGTCAGTGGGTTCGAGCCCCACATCCGGCACCATGCTGACAGCTCAGAGCCTGGAGCCTGCTTCGGATTCTGTGTCTCCCTCTCTCTCTGCCCCTCTCCTGCTCACTCTGTCTCTGTCTCTCAAAATAAAATAAAGACATAAAAAAATTTTTAAAAATTAATTTATAGAGTTCTAAGATTTCAAAGTAAGTAGGACACAATATAACATTCATTAGCAGAGTTCTCTGTCTTTGTCTTTATGTGTCTATTTACAAGTGGGGTGTTGTTAATGTGTAGCAGACACCGTATAAGGGAGCCCCTGTGATTCCTGCCTCCCCTCTCCATTACTTCCATTCTTCCTTTCAATGCAGGGCTATTTATGTAGCATTAGTAAAACTGGGACTATGTATGTATTATTAGTATGATACATTAGTAAAATTGGGACTATGAACAAATAACTATGTAAAGGTTCACACCTTTCTGCAATTCTCTCCCCTTGCATGTAGCCACGACCTTAGACCATCTTCTAACCAATGAATACAGTAGAGGTAATGAGGTATCACTCTTGAGATTATCTTACCTTCTAGAAGACTGTCTTGCAGGCAGAGTACTCTAGAGGCTGTCCTTGCTGGCCATGAGAAGTAAGCCATGGGCAAGCCCACATGGCAAGGAGCCATAGCCAGCCTCTGGGAAAGGGGGTGGTTGCTAGGAACTGAACGCAACCTCCAGCTGACACTCAACAAGAAGCCAGGGTCTTCAGTCCCCTGCAAGGAAATGAGTTCTGCCAACAACCTGAATAAACTTGGAAGCAGATTCTTCTCTAGTTAAGCCTCCAGATTAGAATACAACCCAGGTGAAACTTTGCTTGTGGCTTTGTAAGACCTTACGCAAAGGACCCAACTAGCTCATGCACAGACTTCAGACTGAAAGAAACCGTGAGATAATAACTGGGTACTATTGTAAGCCACTAAATGTGTGGTAAATCATCACACAGCAAGAGAAAACTAATATAAGGTGTTAGATTATAAAGATGCTACATAAATAACTAGGCATCTATTGGAAGGAAGAAAGGAAAGAAGGGAGAAAGGAACACATGTTCAGTTAAAGTTTCCAGATTTTTAAAAGGATTTATTTGGTCATTGCAAAATCGATTAGAAAACACCCAAGAAAGTTATCTTAAATGATTTTAAGAAAATAGTGTACAAAAAATATTTATCTGACCTGGGAGGTTTAGATTTGCGTGAATTCTATGAACATATAAGGCCAAAAAAGATCTTAAGAAGATAGGTGATCTATAATTGACTTCAGGTGAAGTTTTTCCAAATCGTTCCCAAACATACAATGACAATGATTCTGATGACATGAATATTACGATCTTCTACTTATTGAGTTCCTCATATACATCACACAGAATAGGAAGCAACTTACAATCGTCCATGTACTGTATGATGAACTTTATGTAAATAACCCTATATTAAATAACAATAAACCTTTCACAATTAGACACAAGTATTCTTTTCCCCCATTTTACACACACACGTGCACTCACATGCTCAGTATGCACACAAAAAAAGACACACAGAGAAAAAGTGTTTTGCTCCAACTTAATCAGCAATTAAGTTGTGAAACTGTGATTCAGATACATAACTGACAGTTCCCACTACTGGAAATTTCCACAAACAATCTGATTTCCAATTTTCATGCCATATTTTAAGCCCAAGGATGTTACATAGGCAACCATCCTGATTTAGTCCTATCATCTGATATTCAAAAAACAATGAATATGCCATGGAGTGAAACAGATTTAAATTCTGGGGAAAGATGTGAAAAAAACAATTCGCTGAAGAGAACTGCAAATGGCACATAAGTATACAGCAAAATGCTCACCCTCACTAGCAATCAGAGAAATAAATCAAAATGAGAAGTCCCTTTATAGTCATCAGGTTGGTAAAAACTAAAACCTTCAATAATATCCAGAGTTGGTAACTCTTGGGAACCTTTGTACACGGCTAGTGGCTAACCAGAATTGATGAGATCAACTTGCAATATTTGGAGAGATTCACCATGTATATTTCGAAAACCTAACACAGTGTCAACTCCCTGTTTTATAGCAGCTGAGTGCAGGTGTCAACCTAGATCTATTATTGGAGGACTGGATAATTAAAAAGTGTTGGATGCCTCCTATGAAATAACATGCAGTGGTTAGAAGCTATGAATTAGTGATATAACATCATCTTAAAAATAAGGCATTGAATGAAAAAAAGTACAGGAGAGAATAAAGAATGAAATCTACCATAGAGGACCAGTTACATCTTACCAGTTAAGATGTGCATACAGGGGTGCCTCTGTGGCTCAGTTGTTTAAACATTTGACTCTTGATTTTCGCTCAAGTCACGATCTCACAGTTCCGAGTATGTCAGATTCTGCTCTGGGCATGGAGCCTGGTTGAGATTCTCTCCCTCTCTCTCTGCCCTTATCCCTGCTCATCCTCTCTCTCTCTCTCTTTCTCTCTCTAAAAGAAAAAAAAACATGCATACGTATAATCAGTATATATATTTTTAAATCGTCTTTTAATGTTTGTATTTTGAGAAAGAGAGAGACAGAGCATGAGCAGGGGAGGGGCAAAGAGAGAGGGAGACACAGAATCTGAAGCAGGCTACAGGCTCTGAGCTGTCAGCACAGAGCCTAACACAGGGCACGAACTCACAAACCATGACATCATGACCTGAGCTGAAGTGGATGCCCTACCGACTGAGCCACTCAGGTGCCCCAGTTTATGTACTTTAAAAAAAATTTTATTTAATGTTTTATTTATTTCTAGGAGAGAGAGAGACAGCGTGAGCAGGGGAGGGTCAGAGAGAGAGGGAGTCACAGACTGAAACAGGCTCCAGGCTCTGAGCTGGCAGTCAGCACAGAGCTCGACGCGGGGCTCGAACCCACAAACCGCGAGATCATGACCTAAGCAAAAGTCGGATGCTTAACTGACTAAGCCACCCAGGCACCCCAGTTTATGTACTTTTAAAGGACATTTACAATAACCTACATCAAACTCATAAAAAATGGCTGCCTATAGGGGAGGTAAAGATAGATGAGGCAGAGGAGGGATGGATAGGGAATAGATTGAAAGAAAAAAATATGTAAGAAAATAAAGGTGAGTTCTTTACCAGACTAATAGTTAATTATGAACTAAAGGGTATGATTAACACATCTCTCAGCAATTGAGTTCTTCCAAAAAACAACTAAAAATGCTGTAGAATGAAACTTTATTGTTATAGGCTGAAGACCTTATGCTGACCTGAGATATTTGAATTTAAAAATGGATGCCCAATATTTTACTGGGAAGAAGAGCCACATCAGGTTAATACACTCTTCAATGTTGAGGAGAATAGAGAGATTCTTTTCTAAAAATAAAGTGGGTAATTTCTAAGATTTGTACTTCGAGAAAATACAATGACAAATGTTTTGGCAAGGTGTTAGAACTTGTGTATTAGTCTTGTCTTAATGGAAGAGAATTTGATGACATCATTACATTTGAGCAGAGCAATCTTGTAGTAGTTAATGTATCTGTGTGTAAACAGCCAAAAGAGACTTTGAGCCTGGGTTTCATGGTGCATTCTACTTATATATTCTCTAGTCAAAGGCTGTGGGACCTGTATACTCAGGTCCATGTGAACACCCAGCTCAACAAGGCAGGTCACATCAATAGTGTGTGTGTGTGTGTGTGTGTGTGTGTGTGTGTGTGTATTGGGATATATTTTATCCCAGTCAATCTGATTTCACAAGGAAGAAATTACAAGGAATAGCTGATGTATGCCTTTTGCAAATCACTACACATATTTGACGTTGTTTAGACATGTGGTTAAGAATATATTTTCCATCTAGTATTCTAGAACTCACACAGGAAGTTAGAAATTATAAATGAATAAACAAATAAGCAAATGAAAGCAAGGCTAACAAAACAGAAAATATAAGGTACATACCTTTCCTATAAATACCATTAATACCCTTGACTACAAATTTGAGGGAGTGTGTCCCACAATAAAAGTTATCATTTGGCTGAAAATGATTTTTGTCTGTTTTGGAAGGTAGCAGATAGATGGAGGAAAAAGAAAAAACTAAAGTGAGTAAGAAATGACTCCATTTAACGATATAGAGAAGATTAGCATGGTCCTTGTGTGAGGATAACATGCAAATTTGTGAAACATTCCATATTTTTAAAAAAGGGAAATTACTCCATTTATCTATACCTTTGGGGAATGATATTTTATGTAAGTGATTCATCACTTAACCTGATGACTACTTTTTTTTAGTTCACCCACCTCTTTTTCTTAATCTAAACACTTTCTGTAGAATTTTCTAGTTTGTACAGTGAATAGAAATTAATGATATACCTTTAAGCATAGGATCACTAGATCAACTATTTTATTATGATAAAAGGCTGTAATGTGTACAGAGGCCATTGAAGTATAAAGGCTTAGCATTATACAAACAGCTCTGAACTTCCACATGTTTACAAACCCAGTCTGCCTTTTATTGGTATCTTCCTTCTCAATTTCCTGTCATTTCTTTCCGCCAAGATTGTTTTAACTGTTCCACCCTTTCTTGGCCATCCGCATGTCACATCCTCTCACACTGGAGAATAATCCATGGACTTTGTGACAATTGTGGACAGTAGTTGTTTTCTCCTCACTTCCTGGTGAGTGTATCCAACTCAGACACCTTAGGGACATTCTAAAGGCACAGTGGTATTTATACTAGAAAATCCTTCTGATTGAAATTCTTTTACTATTTTTTTCTTAAATAGTTTATTTTTAAAATTTTTTAATGTTTTATTTATTTCTGAGAGAGAGAGAAAGACAGCATGAGCAGGGGGGGGTCAGAGAGAGAGGGAGACACAGAATCTGAAACAGGTTCCAGACTCTGAGCTAGCTGTAAGCACAGAGCCCGAAGCGGGGCTCAAACCCACAGACTGTGAGATCATGACCTGAGCCAAAGTTGTACACTTAACCGATTGAGCCACCCAGGCGCCCCTCTTAAATAGTTTATTGTCAAGTTGGTTTCTATATAACACCCAGTGCTCATTCTGACAAGTGCCCTCCCCTATGCTCATCAGGCCCCTTCCCCTCTCCCCCACTCCCATCAGCCCTCAGTTTGTTCTCAGCATTCAAGAGTCTCTCATGGTTTGCCTCGCTCCCTCTCCCCAACTATTTTTCCCCTTCTTCTCCCCTATGGTCCTCCATTAAGTTCCTCCTAATTCACCTATATGTGCAAACATATGGTATCTGTCCTTCTCTACCTGATTTATTTCACTCAGCATAACACCCTCAAGTTTCATCCACATTGCTACAAATGGCCAGATTTCATTCTTTCTCATTGCCATGTAGTATTCCATTGTATAGATGAACCGCGTCTTCTTGATCCATTTGTCAGTTGATGGACACATAGGCTCTTTCAATGTTTTGGCTATTGTTGAGAGTGCTGCTATGAACATTGGGGTACATGTGCCCCTATGCATCAGCACTCCTGAATCCCTTGGGTAAATTCCTAGCAGTGCTATTGCTGTGTCATAGGGGAGTTCTATTGTTAATTTTTTGAGGAACCTCCATACTGTTTTCCACAGGACTGTACCAGTTTACATTCCCACCAACAGTGTAGGAGGGTGCCTGTTTCTCCACATCCTCACCAGACCTGAATGTGAGACACAAAACCATCAAAACCCTAGGGAAAAAAAGCAGGAAACAACCTCCTTGACCTCAACTGCAGTAATTTCTTACTTGACACATCCCCAAAGGCAAGGGAATCAAGAGTAAAAATGAACTATTGGGACCTCATCAGGATAAAAATCTTCTGCACGGCAAAGGAAACAATCAATAAATCTAATAGGCAACTGACAGAATGGGAAAAGGTAGTTGCAAATGACATATCAGATAAAGGGCTAGTATCCAAAATCTGTAAGGAACTCACCAAACTTCACACCCAAAAAACAAATAATCCAGTGAAGAAATGGGAAGAAGACATGAACAGACATTTCTCCAAAGAGGACATCCAGACAGCCAAGGCACATGAAATGATGCTCAGCATCCCTCATCACCAGGGAAATACAAATCAAAACCACACTGAGATACCACCTCACCCCGGTCAGAGTGGCTAAAATGAACAAATCAGGAGACTATTGATTGAAATTATTTTAAATGAAACAGTCATGATTTTTATAGGATTTTCCTGTCTACTAGTAGATAAATGTGTCCCATTTGGAGTTTACAGTTCATTTTATTTCACAAGGTGATCAACTAAGGCACAGATAAAATTTTATCAGTACCTATTTTATTGTGTTGCTCCAGCATTTTACTAGTGAAGTTCAACATAAGTTTTTTTCTTTGCTCTCTTCTGCTTACTCCAAAAATTTCCAGAGGCTAATAAAATCTGATCTTAAGGTCCTAGCCACAGTAACAGCAAAATTTACCATAGCTGAAGAGATATGAAAAATATTTCCCAGGCTTTTTTTTTTCTTTCTCATTAAAATGCTATACTCTTCAGATACATAGAGTAAGTCTCATGAATGAAGCTATATCTATATACTTAGCAGTATAACTGTAACAAAATTTCAGTTAGCAGTTTTTCATTGGAGGTCCTCTAAAGCTGAGCCTTTAGCACCGGTCCCAGTACATGAACTGTGACCTACAAATGTAAGCCTTTCAAACACTAAATACAATGCCCTGTTTATAGGAGGTACTTTATAGATAGCAGAGCACCATTTCTCTTTCTTTACTCCTTAAAGGAAACTTAACTAGGAAATATGTCAACCTCATTTCTCAGAATGAAAATAAAAAATAACTAACCACTTGAGCTTCCTGGGTCAGGGTGAAAGATTTACCTAATGACCCAGGCTGGTTATGGAAGCTCAGTGGTAAAACAATTTCTGAGTTGGCCTGCCTTCTTCCAAACTAGAGGCTTCCTTAAGCATGAGCCACCACCCCCTCTTTGCAGGACTGTCATGGCAAGAGTTGAGGAAGGATTGGGTGGTGTGGCCTGCCTCTTGTCATGCAGTGACCATCAGAACAGCATGAGGACAACTCCATAATTCCCAGTGTGCAAGCACAGTCAGAGCGTACACAGGAGAGCAACCCATAAAAGGTCTAAAAAGCAGAAACTGCAACATACTGGACTCCCAAAGGCACACGCCAATTCAATTCTGTCTTCAATCAGTATTAACAGAAGGGCCTTTTTCAGGGGTTCACAGGTTATTTCACTGAATGAAACAGGCTAGAAGACCATCTTTTAATTCCTAATTTTGTTTCTTTAATACTATTAAATAATCACATGCAGTCAACATCCTACTGATGCCCTACGGAGACAACACTTCTGTGTAAATCTAACATTTTCAATACATTCTCAAGTCATAAATAGGATTGCATCACAAGTTTACATGGGATGCATAGTCCCCAAAGAAAGAACTCCATTCTTTAAAAGTGACAAAGCATTTAGGCATATTTCTGAGCAGTAAAATTCAAATCAAGATTACCAACAAGTGATAGGTAACACTTTTCAATGAATAAATCTATAGAAAATAACTGAATCAGTTTACCATTTGTAGCAGAGAAAATAATCCAGTTAGATGTATTCTGTGATACTTTAAAAACTTCTCAATGACAAATGAAAAAAACAGAAATGTGTATGTATCTAATTTTTTCTTCTAATATACACATACATATAAATTATAAGAACTATCATGGCAATCAAAAGTTTTGTGTAATTTTGGGGGCACCTAGGTGGCTTAGTCGGTTAAGCGGCCAACTTTAGCTCAGGTTACGATCTTGCAGTTCATGAGTTTGAGTCCCGGGTCAGGCTCTGTGCTGACAGCTTGGAGCCTGGAGCCTGCTTCAGATTCTGTGCCTCCCTCTCTCTCTGCCCTTCCCCTGTTCACATTCTGTCTCTCTCCGTCTCTCAAAAAAATGAATAAAAATGTAAAAAATAAAATTTTTATATAATTTTTAAGTTTGACTTAAGAATGTCCAGTAGAAAGCCACTTTTAAAGCATAATACAACAATAATTAAAACATCTACAGTTCATTAAAGTTAAGAATATTCTTCTACTTTTCACCTTAAAGGTCAACAATTAATCCATGTTATTATAATTTATTTTGTAATTTTCTTCAACTAAATACTTGCAAGACTAACTTGCCTGCAACTTTTTTTTTTTTAATGATCTGGGATGCAAAATTCTTTCTAGTTTTCTGAAAATATTAGTATTTTTCCCCTTGTGTAAGAGGAATTACTATTATTTTTTGGGGTGGAGGAGTTGCTTTTAAAAAAAAAAATCCTTGGAAAATGTGAGTGGGCATTCAGTTACACACTATTTTAGTTTAAAATGGGAGGGGATGGAAGTGGAAAATACTCACAAAAAGATACCTGTCAGGCAGACTCTTCATTCATTTTACATTTTCTTCCTTTTTTTCCTCCTTAATGAACGAGAGGAAAATACATCTTTGGCATTCCAAGGAAGTGATTCTGACATGTAATCTCCATCAGGTCATCTAGAAGAACAACTGTCCAACGACATGATATTAAAGGCAGTAAATAAGGTTGTTCCAAAGACCAGCTGAAAGCCCGAGATCCCGTCAGTGGCCATGACTGAAGCTCATCATGGTTTGGACACTGCAGCTGAAACCTCCAGACTTATGCACCGAGCAACAATGAAGATATTGTACAATCAACTAGGGTTACAGTGAAGAAAAACAAAATGCTTTCAGATCATAACAGAAGTGATTATCACGAGGAAAGAGAAGTGACTGGTGGGTATAAAAGGCAACCAGAGCAAAATAAAAACAGAAGTAAATATAAAACATTAGCATCCTACCCCAGAGGATGTTAAAATCACAAAGAAAAATTTCCAGAGGAAACATAATAAGCTCACAGATGAAAAAGCATTTACACAACCCATTGTAGGATGTACACTTTGCTAAATGATCTGCAAAATTAGAAAAAGAAACTGATTCATTGTAGAGGTGCATTATCTGAGAAGTACACAGTGTCCAGAAATTCTATTGCTTCTTTCATCAGAATCAATGTGAGGTCTGCACTAGTAAAGATAGTCAAGTTATTTTATAAGGAGGAGGAGGGGGAGAAGGAGGAGGGGAAAGAGGAGGAGGGGGAGGAGGAGGAGGGGGAGAGGATAAGGGGGAAGATGAAAGCTAGAGAACCAGTATCAAGAAGCAA